CCAAGGATTTATATTTTAGTATCAAAAGTCACATGGCGACTTAAGAAATCTCCTCCACCCCCCACCCAATCATTTCCTATGGGCCTATCACACGGGGGTCTAATGGACCCTGGAACACGTATTCTAGGCTCCAACTTAGTGTAAACATCAAACATTCTTTAACACCAAACATCGTGGAACGCCTCCCACCTCCCCCTCCTTGGCTTAAATATGTAGGCCTACTACTTTTATAACAATTACTTGATGCAAATCGTAATTGTGACCGTTTGTTTATTTCGTCGTAGTCTACATCATGAACACACACTCACACACACTCGTATTATTTTACACAAAAAGTAGAGTAATTCGTTTAGAATCATTTAAAAAAAAAATTCTTCATAATATGGTCAGTTTTGGGATAAAAGAATGTATATATTGTAACACAACGCAGTCTTTTAAAAAAATTCTCCTTCTCTCCTATCCTCCCCTTCCCCATCTTGATAATAAAAAAAAACCAGACATGATTTTTGTTACCAAACTACAATTGAGCCAGCCAATAATCATTAATCCTCTGAAACAAATCGCCTGTAGTCCGGCTAATTGCCAGAGATCATCTCCTTCCATCCATGTATTCACCTGCTGATAGAGCATTTGTTTTCTTCTCTTTGCCGCCCCAACACCTGTCTTACGATTATGCAATACGTTTTTATCAGCCCAATTTTTGTTTCTCTCAAGTCATGGATCATCTCTTCTTACTCCCCCCCCCCCCTCCCCGAAATCACCTCCTCCCCCCCTCCCCGAAATCACCTCCTCCCCCCCCCCCCCTCCTGCACCAAAACTAAAACCTCGTGGTCTCGTGAGATTTGACCGGCTGACCACTGAAAGAAGCAGCTTGTTTTCGCCCCCTCTCTTTTCTTGACCAGACAGCGTTAAAAACCATCCATCCTGTCTAGAGGCTTCCATTGAAGTTTTAACCTTGACCTTGGCTTCAGAAAGTCGCACATAAATTTTCTCAGTGCATTAAAGCATGGCCGTATTGTATTCCTGTCTCTCTCTCCCCTCCCTCCTATATCTTTATTTTTCATCACACATGTCGCAGTTTTGGATTTAAAAAAAAAAAAAGTGTTTTTAGTTATACCTATACTAGTTATACTAAATATACACAGCAATCTAGGGAATTTAAAATGGTTGGTACTGATGTCGATCACGTGGTACCCTGGAAACCGTTATAACCTGGATTAATTGAATACGTCACATGACATCAATTTCCTGCCCCGCCGATCAAGACTTTTCAATTTAGGTCTAGTGTTTGTTAAAAACTAGAATCGGCTTTTGACCTGGTCTGCGCCATTGGGCATATCACTCAGCTTAGAAATGGAAAGGAAATAGAGGGGGGGGGGGGGTGGAGTTTGGCGGGAGAAGTAAAAAAAAAATCCTTCAACCGAAGGTCAGTACCCCGAGGGTGCCCCCCCCCCTGTGACGTCCATTCAACAAGCAGACGATTACGTCACCGGAGATTCCCGGGCGTCCACTCCCGTCCCGCCCGAGCGGTTCATATCTCGTCTCGCATGAGTTGCGATGCTGTATTGAAGCCGTCTGGCCGATGAATGTGAGGCTACCGCTGTGCCTAGCCCGCTGACCCGGTGTTTTATGAGATGTTCGAGAATTTCATTCTTTAATAAATTGTAGACCCCATTTACAAGCAAGTTGCTCAAACTGCATTGAAATAGTTATTAATTTGCTATGTACATTGATTTGGTCATCTTTGAGCCATGTTCGCACCAAGTATGCAGCGAATGATGCAAGGTCACCCTAACATTTGTTAGGTTTTCCACCACACATAAGGCATTCTTGGATTCATTTTTTTCATCGCTGTCTACTGAAGATTATTCATCAGTAGTTGGTTGTAACTTGATGGCTGAGGTTGCTGGATGAACCCAACTCCTTCAAATGTTGGATCCGTAGTGTATTGGTACAATCATTATTTTATCCAGACGATGAAAATGTATCTGCTCATCCATCTAGCCGCCTTAAGTTAATCTTGTTCTTTAGGGGCGGGCTGGGTGTGTTTTACACGTCTGGGGAAAAATACGCTTTAACCCACTTACTGGACAAAAGGATAAGTCAAGGCCATGTTTTGTTCTCGCTAATCAGCCTCGAGCCGGTCTGCGATGACGTAGTGGATTGTTTCAACATGGACTTGACCACAGGTGTCATCAGCGAGGCGTGAAAAAAAAAACCGCGACGACGTAAGTATTTTGTAACAAAAGCACTGGCGTCAGTGAGTCTACAAGAGCGGTCATCTTCCGGATTAAGATAAGCAAGTAGACCGGACAACAACCACATGTGCGGACTGCCCGGGGAGGAGTCGGTGGGGTGGGCAGGGCCTATTTAAAACTAAAGAAGACATAGATGGCCGGCTCACTTTCAGTTGGGAGTTGAATTTTAAGCCAGTCAAGTGGATCATTGCTTGCCCGGTCTGACTTGGTTTCGTTGGAGAGTTGGGCGCAGTCGAGTGTTCGGATTTTATAGCGTGACTAGCGACTTCACCATTTTATTCATCGTGCTGGCGGCTTCACATCTTTAGGACCTGCATATTTATCAACATTGTATTTCGGACTTTCAACCTTTCCGTGTTGTCTGGACTGGAGTTATAAAAATTTATTTTGGACTTGGTTTGAATCTCTGCACGTGCTCAAGTATCTGCATGTGAGTGTGCAAATAACGTGCAGCATGCCTCAGGAGCCGAGCCTTCTGACGGAGTTTGCCGAGTTCTGTGAGAACCAGATCTACGTGCAGCTGGATGTAGCGTCAGAGGTCGAGGTGTTGACATCCTCGCCAGTGGTGAGAGTCCTTTAAAAAACTTTTGGATAGTTTGATCAACTTTTGCCCCACTGCTAATATCGTAGTGGTTTCAATCCGAAGTTCTAAAAGTTTAAATTTACGTATTTTAGTATTCATTTAAGACTTGAGTTTGAATGAGGATTTAAAATGCGAACTAGCAAGGTAATTATATTATTGTGGTTTTTTTTTTTATTCTTGCCGTTTATCGGAACAGTGAGACCCTTTATGCAATCAACGTTCTGAGCTAGGTTTGCTAAAGGATATCGCTCGTCTATTTGAAAAGAATCATGTTATTGTTCAAAGATGGAAACAATTTCATATCAAAGAAGCATGTCTTAACACCCTGCATACTTTAAACTTGATTGGTCTTAGCAATTGAGAATTATTTAAATTACAAGTAAATATTTAGTAGGCTTTTTTTATTGCATTTTAAATTAAAGCAAGCTTCTAAAACTGGAGTCAATGAACCTTTCGCTTTCAGCAAATAATCTGATATTTTTTTTGTAAGTTAAGATGTCGGGTTCTAGAGTTCACATCCATATATTCACTGATAACACCCAGCAAGCACAGCCAACACTTGCGTGTTCAGCTTGGCTGTTGAACTCATCAACACATGTGTTGTGATGTGTGAACGATAGTTTTCCCCGTAACTCCCCCCTCCCCTACATGACCACCTGTAGCGTTCCCGCGTGTTTCAGTACTTTCGTGTGGACACTACCCTTGGTCGTTTGATGCAATTAAACTTCATTACCACTTCCCTAACTCGAGTTAATGTGGGTACCAGTTGGTACAGAACCCGTAACTTTTCATCACAACGTAATAAGTAGCCCATTGACTTCGTTACGTCCTCTATTTCCGGTATCTTTAGAACAGTCCCAAATATTCTCAACTTCGTTCAGAGGGAAAGACAATTTTAAAGACGTAGAACTTTTAGTTATCTCCCGTTAAAATAAAATTATAAATAAAAAACACACCTTTGTTTTATTGGCGCGTAATCTCAGTGAACACTGGTCATCGGGAGCTATTTTTGGAAAGTGATGAAAAATACCGTCTTTATTCTTAGCTTGGTCTAAGCTTAGTGACCACGGCTAAGGCTGTGTTTTGGTTGTATTAGTTAGGAAGGCTCTTCACCAACACATAACTTTTTGGACTAGTGTATTGAAGCAGTGTTTTCATATGTGGAAGATCCTAATGTGCCTAGTGTTTATATTGTTAAAAGAATGGCGTTAGGCAGTATAAACAAACATTTGAAGACAATGACCATAGCCACACCTGATATGTCAGAGTACTTTAATGTTGATGATAGTTATGAGGAGACAGAAGAGGTTTTAGATGGAAGTACTTGGTCTTCTGAAAAGTTGGAGAATGACAATTTTGAGGCATGTTGGTATCTAGAACTTGTTCTTTGTCTTTAAATACAGGTTGTTACAGGTGGTTAAAAATAGTTTGATTTCATCAGTATCTATTGGAGATTGTCTAGTCTATACAGACAGATCTAACATATCAATGGTTCTATTGCAAAGACTTTGCTGTCATATAACTAAATGTCAACATGTTTTCATGATGTACATGTTTTTTTCTTCAGTATTTTTGAGCAATATTTTTAATAGAACTATAAACTGAAATCTTTAAAGATATGTCTCTTCAATAAACAATTATTCCTGTTTACTTAGAACTTAATACACTCGGCTTGTTAATGTCCAATGCTAATCCTTAGCCTATTCCTACGATAAGCCTAACCCTATTTTCTAACCATAACACTAGTCAAGATTACAATACTACTAACAATTTTACACACCTATTTTTGGAAGTCTATTACAGGATATCAGTATTTTCAATGAAATTTTGCAAGTTGTAAACTAACATAACTACTTTAGCCAGATAGTTAGCTCTACGTTTCAAAATCGGAGTATAGTCTATTTGGGAATTATTTTAAAATATAATTTTTTTCCAAATTGTAGTAGATCTACATACGCCTGTGTGCTTTTTTGTCTTTGGTGCCAAAGGAAATAACTTAAATTCTCTATTACTTCTTCACAATTAGTGTTTATTATTATTATCCTTTTTAGTGTTAACTTTAGGAGATAGTTTAAAGTAAAAATTATGTTCCTTTCCAGAAATCATTGGATATCATCTTTGCTATTAACTTAAGGAAAATATTTTTTCTTTCTTTCCAGAATCAGTGGATATCATCTTCTTTGGTGCCAGCCACAGGTGCTTCCTCCTCAGAAGATGAGGTAGACGGGGGAGAGGTCTCTACCCGGGGCACAGACAGGTTCCGGTCACTAGATTTCCAGTTGCGCTTCACAAATGTGTTCACCACGCCACTCGGCTCAAATAAATCTCCACTTCCCAGCTTTAAGTAAGTAACCTCTTTGTACTTGGCTTTAGACTTAAAAAATACAAATTCCTTGTGTTTCCTATAAATGGCTTTACTGGCCACACTTGACTTTAAAATTTTCAAGTAGTAGAATTTAAAAAATGCTATTCCATTGTATATTCTGTATCCAAGTCTTTTGGACATCTACAAAAAAAATTTAATTACAAAATTAGCAAAATCTTAGTTCAGTATGAATGTTTTTAATAATCTCCTATTCCGTAATTTCCATTTTCCAGCTGGGCAGATTCACAGGAAGTTTGGCAGAACATGATCAAAAAGGAAATGACATTCCAGCGGGATTCTGGTCTGTTCCAGAACCATCCAGAACTCCAGCCTCGCATGAGGTCCATCCTGCTAGATTGGCTCTCAGAGGTAATTGGCTTAAAACCCACACACATTTGTACCCCAGGACTGCTATAAACCACCCAACATTGTAGGCTTTAAACCCACACACATTTGTATCCCAGGACTGCTATAAACCACCCAACATTGTAGGCTTTAAACCCACACACATTTGTACCCCAGGACTGCTATAAACCACCCAACATTGGCCCAAGGGAGAGCAAATGTATACAAATACTTGTGCCAATCCTTTAGGTGTGCGAGGTGTACAGGTTACACAAAGAGACCTTCACCTTGTCAGTTGATTTCATTGACCGGTACCTGAGTGTGACCAAAGGAGTCCCCAAGACACAGCTGCAGCTCCTTGGTATCTCTGCTCTCTTCATTGCTGCCAAGTTGGAAGTAAGTTGACATTTGATTGGTTCAAGTATAATGAAAAATTGTGTGTTTCATTGGCACATGAAGTAGCCTGAACCTTACAAAAGAGTTATAATCATATAAATTTCTAGATTAAATATTTGATTTTTTTTACTTGCTCTATATTTGTGTCATTTTATTCTCCTAGGAAATATATCCCCCTAAGCTTGCGGAGTTTGCTTATGTGACTGATTCAGCGTGTTCAGAGAAAGATATTATTAAACAGGAGATGATCATTGTTAAAGTAAGTCTTTAAACACCAGCTTTTATTTCTCAATACAAATATAAATAAAATATTTATCATTATAAAAATTGTAATTTACAGATTAAATTTTAATGCCAGACTAAATCACAATATGTAGAAATCACAATATGTAGTGAAAGTGAATATTTTAAACTGCTGCGGTAATTTCCTGTACATTTTGTAGTAGCTTGAAATTTTAAAAATAATTTTTTCCCAGGCTTTGAAGTGGGACCTCTCACCCATGACAACCAACGCCTGGCTCGGGGTGTACCTTCAGGTGGCCAACATGGAACACATCACTGACCAGGAGCTGGGCTTCGTGTTCCCACAGTTCTCCACACATGCATTCATCCAGATCTCCAGAGTAAGCACAGTTCTCATGTTTCTTTACTGTGGGTGTCTTTGTTTGTTTTAGTTGTGTTTCTTTACTGTTGGTGTCTTTGTTTGTCTTAGTTATGTTTCTTTACTGTGGGTGTCTTTGTTTGTCTTAGTTATGTTTCTTTACTGTGGGTGTCTTTGTCTTAGTTATGTGTGGTGATTTAGGCAATAGGTGTGTTTGTTTAGTGTCTACCTCTGGTGATAAACTGTGTGTAGTGGTTTAGGGGATGTCTGTTTAACTGTGTAATGGGTGAAGGAGTGTTTCTATTTTAGCTAGCTAAATTCTGTGATTTATGGAATGTGTTAGTTGATATGATATAGGAAATGTCTTATATGAATAGTTCATTCCGTGATTTATGGAATGTGTATTAGTTGAGCAATATGTACTGAAGTAGGAAAGTCTAAGTAGTGGTTTATTGTGTTGCTGTACAACTGGTGTAACTCTCCTTATTTTATCATTGTTTTAGCTCTGTGACTTGAGCTTGATGGACGTGGGATCCCTACAGTTTAGGTACAGCATTATTGCTGCGTCAGCCCTGTATCATCACACAAACGAGCAGCTTGTTATGGACGTCTCAGGTAAATAATGCAAAGTACCTTTCTTTTTTTTCTTTTAAGTTTACTACCTTCAGAAAATTTGTTATTGGATTTTAAAAATTTAATTTTTATTGAATTAAATTGTATTCCATTCAAACAATTTAAACTGTACAAGTAATAATACTTGTACATTCTCCTAGAGCCTTTTTAGTCTACAAGACTTGCATTATTTTATTCAAGAACAGCTTCGCAAGTATTTTAAACTTTTTTTATTGTTCCAGGTTTTAACTGGGCCGACCTTTACCCCTGCATCAAGTGGATGGCACCTTTTGCCAAAGCTATCCTGGAGGTGGGCCAGTCCCCCATCAAGTTCTTCCAGAACATCAACTCTGAAGACTGTCACAATATACAGACACATAATGTGGATATGGCACTAGTTGTGAGTACAATTTTTTTAAATTGTGAAGATTTGTCTTTAGACTTAACGATCCATAAAGTAGAGTACACATGGTTGAGGCATACTTTCCCAACAAAAGACAGGTGTTTATCAGAGCTGGGTGGAATAGGGATGTCCTACAGCCCCAAGTCCAAACTGAGATCCAAACTCATGACTTACGTGCTATCAGCCCAAGACTATTGGCTGCACGGTTATTTATCTAACAGAATATAAGAGAATATGAATGGCTAGTTTTGTTTTAGAAGGCTTCTGTACATTATGTAGATCATATCAGTCAATAATAAAAACACATTTATTTATTCATATTTCCATTTTGAGTTTGGCCTAATCATGGGATCATAAGGACACTATGTTTTTTAATATTGATTTTCATTTTAAGTTGATCTTTAATACGCTGTTTTGTTTCCTTTTGGTATTTGAAATTAAATATAATTTTTTTCTTTTTGTGTAGGATCGCGCGGCTGCTCATCAAACTGCATTCAAAGAGAAAGAACGTGAGTGTCCATCATCTCTGGACCTCTCTGCTCAGCTTGTTGGACTTCTGACCCCGCCCAGCAGAGGTCACCCAGAAGCTGTGATGGAGGATGATGACCCAGACAGTTAGTACCAAGCTACCACACACAATTTTTTTACTCTGTGGATTTATGTTAATGAAATGCATAACTTGTGAATTGGAATGTTTTAATTACATGACATTCTTAATGTAAAATAATGTAAAAAAAAAAAGATTTAAAGAAACTAAAAAAGATAACATGTAAATATTAGAAACAAGTTAAATGTAAATGAAATATCTAGACATTCTTCCTACTTGATTTCTGTGCATGCAAGTGATTTTGAGTCCAAAAGAGGTTGAAACTGTACATCTGAGATGGTTTCTGTATTGTTTTGAGGAATTTTGTAATGTGTTCAGATGTGTTAAGTACCACTTAAATGTTTGTGTTTATCATCTGAGATTGTTTATCTGTATTATTTTGAGGAATTTTGTAATGTGTTCAGATGTGTAAAGTACCACTTAAATGTTTGTGTTTATCATCTGAGATGGTTTATCTGTATTGTTTTGAGGAATTTTGTATCGTGTTCAGATGTGTTGTGTTTACTGTGTGACCACTTAAATGTTTGTGTTTATTTGTTTGTCATGACAGTAGCCCATCATTCCATTTTTACTGTCACGGGAAAACATTTGTTTTTATAAACAAAAACAAAACTTTGTTGTATGTGTAAAGTTAATTCATAATATAATGATGACCATAATATGTTTTAAAATAATAATGCATTTTGTATCATAAAAGTGTACATAGTTTTCATATTACTCAGTGACATTTCAGTTTGACAAAAAAAAAAGTTGTGTACATAAGAAAAAAAAGGGTTTAGTAAATTCTAATATATTTTTGTTTGTGATTAAAGTCTTCGTATGCATACTGTCTAAGGAAAGATAGTTGATTTATTATGTGCAAAAATATCCAGTGGTGTAATGCAATTTTATTTTCGTTGCTACCAGTTGGTCAAGCTGTTGGCTAAAAAAAAAACCAGAATATTTTGGTTATTGTCACAATATTTTGGTTGTCACAATATTTTGGTTATTGTCACAATGTCCAAACACAGCTTAGCCATGTCAGTCATCTGTTTGTCATTTTTAAAATGTATACGCATGAAAGAATAAGTGATAAATCTATGCCACAGTGTGAATGATTTGTCAGTGATAAATCTATACTAAAAAGCTGTGTGAATGATAGCGATTGACCTGTACCATTGAGCATTTTGAGTGATTGATCTCTACTTCAGAGCTGTGAATGATTGTGTTGTCAAAGTGTTGTAACACAGTATTGTATTGCCTTCAAGTGCCTTATGTGGAATATTTATTCTCCTACTTACATAAATTATTTCAGTTTTCTGCTCAACTGCTTATTTTTTCCTGAATTTTTTTTTTTTTAAGTTAAAGAATTCTCGTAGTGACCCTCATTTTTAAAAAAAAAAAAATCTGTTTTCTGATGACTTTCAGGGTTACGGGTATTTAGTAAACAAATATTTTAGTAAACAAACCCACAGCTTACTGCCATGCTGCTGGTAATTGTTCTATTGTGATGACATGACACTTCTTATGATTGAGGAAATGTGATTTTTCAAAGTATACCAAAATATAAATAATTTAATTGGCCATATAGGTCACCTTATTTTACTTATAAAAAAATTATTTTTCATTTTTTTTTTATAGTGTTTTCTTTGTATTTTTTTGTATTATTTTAAACTTGAGATAAAACACTTCTAGGGAGAGAATGAGTTAAAATCTTTACTAAATCTAATGCTATGAGAGCAGACCTTCTACATTTCCACAAATATTTTGTTTTATATTCCACATTTTTCATCTTTATAAATGAATTTCCTTGCTTGAAAAAACAGACTTTTGAATATTAACTATCCATTGTTTTCACTTTTTAAAAGTATTTACCTTGCAGATATAATTCTGTCTAATGGAAAAAAAATATTCTTTTTTATATGTGGAAATATTTATACAGCCACTAGAATAGAAATATTTTTTTTACTGCTAGGAAGATTGTTTTGCATATTATAACAGTGATTTACAATACTTAACATTATCCTATCAAAGCATTATCTATTAGCATTAACACTATTTATATTAAATGGTATTACAGTGACATAGAATTCAGTTGCAATGTCACAGACAAGTTATGATAAAAATGGCTGTTAAAATCCTAAGAAGTTAATGTTGTGTTGGTATTGTCTGTTTGAATATTCTAAAATGAAATTATTTTAAAAAAACTCTTCCCTGTTTATGCTTTTTATTGTACTTTCTACCAATAATATCTTTCCTTTAATGTCAATTAATTTTTTTTGTAAATGGAATGTTTTTTTTTAAAGTGAAGAATGACAACCCAGTGGCTTTGTTGTTTAAAAAAAAATTGTGCATTAATGTTCTTTGCATGACCTCAGAATGGTGACCAGCATCGTGCAAAACTGTTATATATCTTTATTTATGTGTGTATGTATTTATTGACATGTAAAATTCAAATAGCTGACATACAAGTTGCGTGCTAGAAAATTGCGGGTCGTGCAATCAAAATAATCTTGTTTGATATTATGCAATGTCAGTTCACTTGGTTCAAATTTTGCTTTCAATCCCTACATAAGTGTCCTGTTTGTTGATGTTTTCTCACTGATTAAAACATAAATCTTTTTTAAAAACTTCTTTGAATAGTATGTGAAAATGTGTTTGTACATAAAATATAAAATTCAGAATGTTTTGTTGTTAATCCTGATCCAAAATATCATGACTACTTTAGCTTAGTTTTTTTTTTAAATCATAGTAAAAATGTAATTTTAATTAATGAATTAGTCGGATGTTATACAATACGGTTATATGTATTTTAAGTATAGGTAGTTCTTAAAATTGTGGAATGTTTGACTTCTATAAGTGCTGCATTGCCATATGTGTTCATTAAATAGTGCATTTAGTTTTTAGGCATTAATTTACTTTAAAATTAAGGGCCTACATCTTTGTATTACTGTTTGAAATGTAATAGGCATTAACTTACTTTAAAATTTTATGAGCCTACATCTTTGTATTACTGTTTGAAATGTAATCTAATCAACATATCACTGATCTGTTTTTTTTTTCTTTTAATTATTATTAAAATATGTGAAGTAGTAGATCTAGTTGGCATTAAAGTAACAGTGTTCATTTTTTTAAAATGTTAATCTGTTGGCATTTAAATAACCAGGTGTTCATTTTTTTTTAAGTATCTGAAGCAGTTGGCATTAAAATAACCAATAGTGTTCTCTTTTTTTTTCTAACTCTAAAGCATTTGCCTTTTTAAAATGAATTTTTTCTACAACTACATTTGTGTAAGATCGATCATTTAGTCTCTTGGGTATTCAAAAATACTATACGTGTTGGTGCTTAATGTATGCTTTGTATGTTTGTTTGTTTTTTAAATTATGGAAGAATTGTTTCTTCGTTTCAAGGCTTTCTTAAAGATGTTTTTCAATGGGCTTTTGTAGATTTATTATTGAAGTCATGAGGATGTATGCATTATTGTGTAAGTTATCAGGTGCTTATATAACTTGTTATAGCTAACTTTTCTATGTGAACAGGACCATACCTTTCTCACAAACAAAAATTCAAGTATGTCCAAATTATAAATTCCCAGTACTGAAAGTTTGCAAGAATTTTTCTGTGTTCTTCCTGGATAAAGGAGTGGGGTTGCTTTATGTAGTTGAACCACATGTAATTTGAAGCTTATGGTGGTTTTAAAAAAAAAAATGCTGTTTAATTAATGCGTCCTTCCTTCAGTCATGCTGCGCCATGAAATGGGGGCTTTAAATGTACAAGTGTTTTTGTTCATTCCAATGGCAATATGTATTAAAAGTAAATTAAAATATCTCACATCTTGCATTGTTACATTTATGAATACTCTATTTTGCTTTTTTTTTTTTTAACCCTATCTTTGTAGCATCTTGATTTTAGTCTGCATTAAAAGGTTTAAAAAGTGACAGTAACATTTGAAGGGATTGTGTGGTCAGCAAGAGTTCAGTGTAAGCTACCGATCTGAGCCAGATGGACCATAGATGTAAAGTCCGAAATTGTGACTTTCGGGTTAGCAGTCAAGTGCTTGACTGACAATGACTAGACCAGCAGTCTCAACAGCCAAGTCAAAAAAAACAGAAAACTATCTCCAAGCAAGATTTAGATGTGAAAAATAAATGCCAGTAAAAAAAAATCACAGTGAAATATTCCTGTTTGCTTATAAAATCATTTAATGCAATTGTGACTGAAATAGTTAAATACATAAGCCTTTAAATTAACATGTCTAAAGAGGGAAAAGAAAATTTATTTTATTGGTAAAATCAAAATAAGACTGAAAAAAAAAACAAATTGGAGAGTTGCATACTGATAGGTTTCTTGTATTATTACAAGTCCTACATTAAGAATAACGAGCCGGCCCGCGGCATAACATGCGCCGCTATTTAGTTGTTTTATTTTCTACTTTTCAGTAATTCATAATTTGTGAATTCGACAGTACCAACGCTGCCACTGAAAATATTTCTTTAAAACACTATAAGTAGCTCGTTAAGGACCATAACCCCCCCCCCTTCCTTCCCTCTCCCCCCCCTTACGTTTATCGTTGGTTCTGCTTGTAAACATTTAGAGTGAACACAGCTCACTAAGATCATGTAGGGGTGGGGAGGTAGGGATCGAGTTTACAGCTTGTTTTTTAGCGGCTCCCAGAAGAGAATTATATATATAGATATCTTTTTCATCTGTTTACCTACAACTTGTACTTTCAAAACAAATCAAATAATTATAATATATGCTCATGTCTACTCCACAAAGATAGTTACCCTAAAGTAACCAGTAGTATCCAGATTATAAAAAAGTTGTACATTACTACATATACCTCAATCACACTTTTTCAACCAGTATTCTGTAAATATTGATTAATATGCAAGATAGATGATATACTGATAATGAAAATGTCAGTTGTGTTTTGCTTTTTAACAAAAAATAAATAAAGGGCCTGTTTTACAAAATAATTGCATGAATAACAATAAACTATGTATTTACAGAACAAAGTATACAAAACAGTAATATGCAAATAAATTATTTCTTAGTTCAATTTGAAAGACTTTAATTAATCCGTAACAGTGATGCCATTACCAAGAAGTAATTATCTTGTCTAATTCATCAGGCCATTGTTATCATTAATTCTTGCAGCAGCTAATCCAGACGGACTTACGTAATCACCTTTATCACCGTGAAGGTTGAGTGTTGTTAAGTTTGCCGTGACTTGTGACAGCTGTGCTACGTTGACACTGTCTTTAGTGGCTTTCATGGTCATGTAGTCTTGATGTGGATAACTCAACTGCTGATTGTATTGTACGTTGTATCCAATATTAGCAGGGCCCCAGGTAAAGTTATTGGGATATGTGTTTGGGGAAAGTGGGAAATTCATACTGGTTTTCGTCATGCCATTAATCACTGGATATGGACTGGGGTAAGGGACAACTGACAATATTTGTGCTGGGTAACTGGATTGTGGGTAAAAGAAGTTTTGTCCTACAGGTTGAGTTTGGGTGGGGGAAAAGTTGACGGGGTTATTAGATGCCAGGAGGTCAACGTTTGTAGCTGGTGTCATAGGAACTGGTAGCTGATTGGTTACCATTGGGTGGGAGTTAAATTGTTCGTCGTCAAAGAAAAAACTGATTAATGGGTCGGAAGAATCACTTTTGGCAGGTTTAGAAGAATTAGTTGAATTCATCTGTTCTACTGTTTTCTGCGTGCCCGGTGTGTTAGTGCTGGCCGATGATTTTTGTGCAAAGTTTAGGAAGTTAACGGAAATCGGATAATCTTGTTTTGGATGGTCAGACGTAAGCTGGTATGAAGATGTGAATGGCGTAATATCCGAAGAACGGCGTCTTTTGGTGAGGGCGTTGGGCATGTCTGGAATGCTGGTATAAATGTCACTCATGCTTGAACTTGTGCTACTGGCCAGCTCTTCATTGCTCGAAGTTTTAAAAACTTTCTTTTTTGGTAATAGGTTTCGGGTGTCACCCCCACAGGCGATACAAAGACCGTTATCTGATACAAAGCGAAGCCTTTCAGCTCGAATTTCATCACATGTACATAATTTAGCGGAGTCTGCTTTTTTTTGAGAAAACAAATGAAAAACATTTCTGGGTGATTTTTCATCCTGATTTCTGTTTAAACTTTGTGTCTTTTGGCTGATAAAACTTTTGGAGCATGGACGTGCAGGCAAGGCAGGAGGTGAGTCACTTTTCTTTTGTTTTGCCATTTTACGCACTGAAGATTTCAGTTCATCCAGTTCTTCATAATCATTTTCTGTCTTTCCTTGTGCGCTCCGATTTTTAGCCAATGCTTTTAAATCTCCAGTGCTGCTGGCTCGTTTTCTATTTAAATCAGATAGTAATTGAGACCCTGGATCTTTGAGTGTAGAGTTGTGAGTTTGGTTAGTTTCCTGGGTCAGTTTATTCAGTGTTCTAGGAAATGTCATGGTGGCGAAAGGGAAAAAATCATCAGCCTTCTCCTCACTCTTGTCAACAAAGCTAACAGACTTGGCAGGTTTGTTTAAAGAATTCAAACTGTCAAAAAGTAAATTTGTTGATATGTTTGCCCCTTTATTCTGATCACTGCTTTGATTGGGCAGGATTTGAGTGAGGGAAGTGAAAGTATTGCTCCTAGGTTTCGACCTACCTTCCACATCTTTAATTATAGTATAACCGCCGTCTTTTGTAGACTTGTTTTTTAAAGACGAATGACGTCTGTGTTTGACATCAAGATTGTCAAAAATGGCATAGGTGGAGCCAAAATTATTACTCTCCACATCGGCACTTTGAGAGTGCTCATCGCTTTCCACTAAGGACTCAAGCTCAGAGCCTGACCTACCATTAACAGAGGTTTGGTCTATAAAACTCGGATGCCTCATAAAAAGGCCACTGCTGGAGTTACTTTCTGATTTAGAAGCGGAGGAGCCACCCAGAGTTGGGGATGACCCGAGGTGGGTGCCGTTGGTTGAGCTGGAACTATCAGACTCTGACCGGTCTCTTGAAGGGTCCACAAACATGGGGTGGTTGTCCAGGAGATGCTGGAAGCTTTTCTCACTTCCTGTGACAGAAATGGCTCTGCTCCTCGGAACTGTTTTCCTGGCATTCTGCTTTTGTGCAAGAGCCAGGCAAATTGATTGCCTGATGGCGCTGAGGATGTTTTGAGCCTCATCACAAATGAACCGAAAGCAGCTTTGTCCAGTTGGTGAATTACTGAAATAGAAATAAAAGTCATGCATTTATGTTCATTTTAATGATTTATTTATATAATGTTAGAACAATGACTTCAGATTTCATTTTTTACAATTAAGAAATTATTAATTGACCTATGAATTAACTATTTTAAAAAAAAGTCATATTTAACACAAGAAAATATTTTTAGGGAAGATTTTAAGAATAAAATGGCTACTGAATTGAATTTGTATTTAAAAAGTAGCTATGAAAATGAAATATATATTAACAAGTTAAATCAAAAGTTTCTTAGCAAAATCACATTATAATAAACTTAAATAAACAGTTCAACAAAATAGGTTTTACAATATTTTAATTTCAGCTGAATGTTGTGACTGGTTTATTAAATTAGACTAAAGTAAAGGAAACTCAAGACTTTTAGAGTTAATCTGGTTCTTTTAAATTTCACACATTATACTTTATTTGTGAAAAAATGCTAAGATCATAAAGCTATTTGTTTTAAACTTTGTTTCCCTTCTGACTAAACAAAAATAATACACATTTCATTGATTTTTTAAAGCTGACAACCAATTTAAAATGAAAGCAGTGTTAAAGTTTTATAAAAAGTTGAAATTCTTTTAATGTAAGTAAACAAACAATAAACTACTCACGGTCCACATTCAATGACCAACACATTCATGACTCCAGTGGTCTGGTTCTTCTCCACATTAAACCTCATCAAGGTGCTGAGCCCCCAGCTGATGACCGTCTTGTGAGTGTCCACTAGGCTGATGCAGGTGGGCGACACAGTCATGGTGTAGTCAGCTGTTAAACTCCATTTTTTGGAGTATTCATTGGCAGACACAGAAACTTGGTAGGTGTCTGTAATCAGAGTGAAGTTTAGTTAAGAACAAGGAACTTAAAAAATGGAAACATTTAACCCTTTGATATGCTGCATGTTACATTACATTGGCAGACAAGAAACTTGATTAGTATTTGGGATCAGAGAAAAGTTTAGTTAACAACAAGGAGCTTAAAAAAATGGAAAAGTTTAACCCTCTAACAAGCTATATATTAAACTGCATTGGCTGCGTCAGAAACTTTGTTTCTATTATTAGTCAGCTTCAGTCAGAAATGTAGAACTTTAAAAAACATGTAAATCCTTTAACCCTTTGTGCAATAGTAATAGGGCTGGTAAGTAGGTCACCAGCCAGTTCTACGGCTCAATAAAACCTGCATGAGCCATAGAACAGGTTGGTGACCTACTTACCAGCCACATAGAAGGATAAAATAGATTAAATGTATTTATATTTTGTCATTATGTTAAGTATTGAATTTTGCCTTGGTGCACAGAACTGCCCACACTATTCATTCATATGCTCAGGTTACAGAAACAGCTGAACTCTACTTCATCTATACAACTGTTTCACTTAAACCTTATTTTTGTTGTTGTTTGAATCTACTTTACAGTGCGCAGTACCTTTGTTTGTCTCAATCTGGTCAGGGGTGAAGATCTGCTGCAGGGTCAGCATCCAGCTGTAAGACTCCAGGTCAGAGAAGCCGCTCAGCACCAATACTGGGAGGCTCTCCACAATCTCAAAGGCGTTGTGGTGAGTCTTGGACTTGGCCGTCTGGATGCAGGTCACGTTTTCTAGCATGAAGGTGACTTTGTCAGCGGACTGGCCGCGCCATTTGGCTTCGGTGTCGTAAAGATCTAGCTTCGCAGCGTATTTATCACTTGATAAATTGTTCATCACAGTCAGGACTACCCAGCGTCGACGCCATGACTGAAGTATTAAAAATATATTATAACAAACATTGTTTAGTACCTAATTAATTTTTATTTAATGATTATTTTTGAATTCTTGTAAATACCTTTTATCTTTCTACACACAAAAAAACAATTATTTTTTTTATGACAAAAATCATGAAACAAATTAAATTTAAAGTTAAATATTGAAAAAAAAAGTAGGATTTCTTTCCTGCCTTACTTTTATTTAAACTGGCAGAGTAAAAAAAACAACTTCTGCCTTACAGCAACATTTAAAAACTTAGACCAACTTGCTAATATACTGCGCAACTATTCCTTACTTAATTCCAGTATTTTAATTTACCTTCAGTTTTCTGCCCTTAACTTTAGAAGATTGCTTGATATCAAGATACCCAAACTTTTGTGTAGGAGTGTCAAAAGACATTTCTGTGATAACATGAAGGTTGCACATGCTATTTAATTTTTAATCCATGAAAACTGAACAGAAACACATATAGTCCTCTGCAAATGGAGTAAATCCATCATTAAGCATTCACATTTGCTTTATAGTTAACACCCAGGAATAAAACATGAAGCACTGAAACAAAAAAAAGAAAGTTGCATTAGTATATAGATCTATAATTAATATTTTATAAAATTTATTGAATTGAGTTGTAGCACTAATACTTGTACTTATTACAGTACATTACAGTTGTGTTATTATTTGCTGACTGGCACTTCTCATTTCTATTCTAATTGCTGTGTCTAATTGTTACACAATGCTGTGTGTCTGATAAGTCATATCAGCTTAATTAATTAATGTTAGATGTGTGTCACTGTGTATGTTTGCCAGAGGCGTAAGCAGGGGAGGTGTCGGTTATGGGGGAAGGGGGGGGGGGGGTGTTTGAACCCTTCACAGAATCCCCTTATCCACACCAAGAAAACTCTATTATGTTAAGTTACTCCTATAGGCTGATGTTTGCTTTCTATATCTAGATTCTAGCACTAGCAGTAGTGCTTTTATGACAATGAATACATGTAATGTGTAGGCATTATTAATTATAATAATTATAGAATAAAATATTTGTTATTATTTCTTTTTTTTAAATTATTAATTAAGCTGCATCTTATTTTAAGATCTAACAATTGGTTTCAGTACTTATAGTGACAATCTATTTTAAATGTTCATAGGCCATAGGCCCTATTCTAGATCTATATATAAGTATTAGGCTAAATAACGGAGGTCAGTATGAAGCAAACTAACAAGAACATTTAATATTTCTGTTGGCTACCAGTTTGCCAGAATTAACTCCCAGTACTGATACAGGGAAAGGGAGACAACAATTATAAATAAGGCTCACCTTGTTTGGAAATTACTCACTAATTAAATATTTAGAAAAAAAAACTTTATCACGAACACAAAAAAATTATTTTAGAAAACTTTAATGTAAGTTTCCACGTCTGATTTCAGTTCACAACTCCACGTCTGCACTTAAACTTCGTTATGCAATGCAACTTTTTAAACCACCACGATAAATTAAAAGAATCTTCCACACTGATAACACCCTCATCTGTGGACACCATGTACACACACATACACAAACACACTCATACACACACAAGTTACGGTTATCTCTGTGTCGATACGTCCATTCTAGTGCCTGGTATTGAAGGTGGGCTATCTGCTGATTGTCACCCAATTAACATAGACCTCTATCGCGGTTGGTTTTATACGATCGTGGTCTTTCGATCCTTGAACTAACCGTTTTCGTTCCACAAGTGTTTTAAATAAGAGTAACAAACTAGTTTGTGAGCTTATGGAAGAAATGTATTGATGGATTACAATTAAATTATTTAAGACAAAAACCACTAGACCTAGTGATAGGTATCAAATATAGGCCCTAGATCATAGGGGTCATCCATAAATGACGTCACGCTTTTTTTGACGATTTTTACCTCCCCCCTCCCCTCCGTCACACGTCGTCACAAAAAGCCAGACCCCCCTAAAATGACGTCACACCTCAACCTACAACCCCCCCCCCCCCCTCAAAATTGCAGTTGAATTTTTTTAAACATCGATATTTTTCTAAAATCTTGTCTAAACTATTACAATTTATTAAAACAGTTATCTAAAATGCGAAATAACGTCTAAAATTCGTTTTCTAACATTGCTTTTTTATAATGCAAAATGTGAGTCGCAACATCTGAACCCCCCCTCCCCCTCATCACACATCGTCACAAAATTACGGACCCCCCTACCCCCTACGAGTGTGGTGTCATTTATGGATGACCCCTTACCAGTTTTGTCGATGATATATAGATCTATAAATAAACAATGAAGTTGTGAACTCGCATTGTCCATTCTTCCACCGCACTAAAAGAATTTTAAAGAATGTGCAGCCATGGCGGATGACGCCCCATTTCCCCCACCCCGTTGACTACGGAAGAGTAAGGAGTGCAAAACAAGAAGTGGTGTGTGTGTGTGTGCATTATTTTAGTTTTAGACCAAGATTCACATATAATTGAAACACATAATATCGATATGTGTTCCTAGTTCCTACCATAATATTAATACGTCTCTCACACAGTGTTCTCCGGGGGAAGGGGAGGGCGCGGACTTAATTTTTCCGGGAGGGGGGGGGGACGGAAACTGGTAAAAGTATAAAGTTTGGTGGGGGATGGAGGCGGAACACGTGCTTCAAAGTAGGGGGGAGGGCACTGCCCCTCCCCCTCCTCAAGATATGCCTGAAAGAAACACTGCACACACATTGAGCTACATCATCGTTATGGTCTAATTTACTCCTTATAGTATAAAAAACCAAACACACCCCAAACTAGTATCCTAAGATAGTCACGGTTATTTAACTTATGAGACTTACAATAAATGCCAGTTTGACGGCTAATGAGTTTTTGTCTGTATGACCCTTATAATCAATGACGTAAGATTTAAAAAAATTTAAAGTACTAGACGGTTTATCACTGTGTGACGCAGCCAAATACAGTCGGATTGTGTAATTGCACTATAGACACACGCATGAGAGCGAAGGTCAAAACGTGTTAGTGTTTGTATCTGCAAGGATGATGATTGTTTTTATAACGTTTCTTTACAAAGCCCGCTGCGCAATGTAGATAGAGGCATGGAAGTATATAACAGAAAACTCACATGTGCGCACGCACACACACACACACACACACACACACACACACACACACACACACACACACACAAAACAAGAACAACAAAAATTTGATACTTTAAGTTAATTTGAATTACATTTTCCGCTTCTTTTGACTTTGCTCAAGAGTAGACGGACTTATTATGATTAGACTTGGCGGGTGGGGTGGGGTGTTTGGAAAAAAACGTTAAAAAGTTAGTGAAGTTATTTATGGACGTTGGCCTCAAAGTGTTAGAAGATTAAGGTTTGGTGTAACACAAAGTCAGACCCTTCCTAAAATAAAGTCATACTTCAACTCCCCCAACCCCCAAGTTTTTACTTTTTGTTCTTTTTGAATTGGCCACTTCTTTTTAGAATATTAACTGAGCCGGTCGCAAACTTTTCACTTTAATATCACAATATAGGCCACCTTTTCATTTAATCATAGTTGGAGTTCATTTCAACTGAACAAATTTGCGCAAATTTAATAGGGTCGCTTTACTAAAAATGTTCTGGTGGGGAACGGTAGCCCGATTTGCCCATCCTCAACCCCATACAGAATCCGCCAGAGGCGTAGCGAGGGGAGGGGGGCGGGGGGACATATGTACCCGACCCGGGCGCCGACCTTGGGGAGGGGGGGGGGCGCCAATTTGAAAGTTTGAGGGGGGTGCAAATGAAGGTATGTTTTTACTCAAGCAAGTATATTCCACTAGCGCCCCATTAAGGGGAGGGGGGGGGGAAGGGGGAGGGTGCGGTCCGGACCGGATGACACCATTTAAAAGGTTACACCAAATTGAAAAATCATAAAATTGGCAATGCTTTATCCAGTTAAAATATTAAACTAGAAGCAGAGAGGGGTGACGCCAAACCAAACTTTGCGAAACTGTTAGAGGGGTAGGGGTAGCACCCGACCTAGTGACGCCACGGATATATTCAATGTTTGTTAGAAAGATGTGTGCTTAGGAGACTAAGTACTGTCCAAATCCTATTATTTGTCAGCTATTTCTCAAAGATCTCACTGTAGATACGCCACTGTTTTGTTATTTTTGCTTCATCCTGTTTTAAATTTGACTCACGTACAGTGTTTCTTCCAGACTTTTTTCTTCGGGGGGGGGGGGGGGGGGGGCGGACACTGTTAAAAGTATATATTTTCTATATAAATTATATATATTTCATTTCGTTCCCCCCCCCCCCCCCCCCCCCCCCCCCCCAAGAGATGCCTGGAAGAAATTCTGCTCACGTATCAGAACTCAGGTTAGATGGTAACAACATTTCTAAGAATCCCCGCACCTACAACTACACATACTGGAAGAAATCGTTGGCTCGATTACTTTGTACTGCATGGCGGTACCAGCCGGAGAAAGGACGGAAAACGCGACACCGATTATCAACGAATGAGGTTATCGGAGATAGTGTGTGATACGGTGTCGATATCATACACCGACACGAACTGCCAACTTACTCAACTCTGTTTAATTGGCATCCAGTTTCGAATAACCGGATAGTTGAATAATATATCCACATTTATCAAATATGAAGACGCATTTTGAATTTTATTTCCGTTTTAGCGAGAGAATGTATGTGTAGGCGTTAGATTTGTGGATATAATTAGGTCGCTGTGGTACCGGTAGCAGAAGATAAAGGGCTGCAAATGTTGACTTTAATTACGCATATAATCTTTGTTGATTTTTAATTAAATGGTCAGGGTTAAGGGCATGAACCCGCATGGTCATTGTGTGATCGATATTGTTGACATTCCTGGCATTTTTTTGTGTAGATGTCTTAGAGCAGAACTTTTACAACATCTAACCCAAAGACACGTACGAAGTGAAGTGTCAGCCTACCTAGCCTAACTTAATTTATTTAGGAAAACTTTGTTATACTTCAATCGAACCCTTACACAGGGTACAACTTCTTTGAGATCATGCACACATTATTTAACACACAAATAAGGCGTTTCTAGCCCCCCCCCCCCCCCATTAAGAAAACGAAACGTCAGACACTTAGAATGACGTCACACGTTGACACCCCTCTTCCTCCTTTCTGTTCTGATTTTTAAAAAAAATCTTGTTCTAAAATATGAAATGAGCTTTTAACCATAAAAGATTGTGTTCGTTAATTAGTGTTACATTTTTAAAAATGTTACTTTTTAAACGACGGGTAAATTCTGTACTTTTTAAAACGCAAACTTGTGTTTCGTCACACTTCGTCCGTACCCCCCCCCTTCCCTCCCAGAGTATGATCATCACAATGTTTCAACACCACTGCCCGTCACACTTCGTCACAAAAGTTCATACCCTCCCCCTATGGGTATGATCATTACATTGTCTCAATAACACTCAGTATTTCTTCCAGACTTTTTTCTCCGGGGGGGGGGGGGGCACTTGAAATTTTCGGGGGGGGGGGGGGTTAGACTTTCTTCG